GTGCCAGGGACAGGCTTTGTTCCTGAGAGCTCTGACAGTGAGGACATGACACAGGGACTGCTTAGCGGACAGAACCTGTTGTGGAATTTAGTGTGTTCTGGACCAGCAATGAACCCTTCCCTCAGCCCAACACCTGGTATTCAGATCATAGATTACATTACTTTTGTGCTCCTAAAAGAGCTGTGTGATTCCTCCTGTCCCAGGCTGACAGGATTAAGGATTAATGAAGTCTGGAGAGGAGCTCCCACTGGTGAAATCAAGCAGCTGCCATCTCCCTTCCTCCCAGAATGAGTCAGGATTCTTTTTTGTTCATTTGTTTCACACAGCCAGACGCTGCAACACTGCTCAATACCACCAAGAAATAGAAGAAAAAGAGAAATAACCAACAACAAAACAAACTTTGGATTTGCAACTTAAATACTGAATACATGGGAAATGCTAGAGGGAACAGCAAGCTTCAAGTGTCAAGTATTGCTGTTTGTCTCCCTGCATAAGGGGAGGTACCAAACCATTCAAAGATGCTCAGTGGCTTGCCCCAGCCTCATCCTTGCTGAGCTGATGGCTGGATGATGTCAGGTTTTGGTCCCCTGCCAAGGAGAGAGCATCCTGCCTCAGCATCCATGGATTTTGGGGGGACACTTGCCTTCCTGCCTTCTGGCAAGGCTAGAGGGATACCAAAAGAGTACCAGACTAATTCCTGCTGTTGCTGTACAGCTCAGGAAGCATGAAGCATTCACCAGTCTGAGCAAGCCAGTCACTTTGCCAGTCTCAATAGCAGCTTCAGATGAGTGCTGCCATCCCCAGAGTGCACGGAGCTGCAGAAGGGTCCCCAGCTCACTGCTCAGCCAGCTCCTGCTGTGGGGGATAACTGAGAGAGATACCTGGGCAAAGAGAGCCCAGAAGAAACCAGAGCAGCACTCTGCTATGAGCTGTTTTCTTCAGACACACACGGCTGCCTTATTCCCAGATCTCAGGGTTAATGAAGAGATGCTGAAGATCTGAAGGTGAATTGGGAACAGAAAGATTGATTTTGCAAACTGCTGAACTGAACTCTGGATTCAATGTGAGCCCAGAGATAAGTAAAGTAGGCCTTAAAGCTGTAACACCCTACTGCTCCTCCCAGGCTTCAATTTCTCTTTCTCTTCTGCTCTGCAACACATTGATATGAATTGCTCAATAATCACCACATCCCCTGGGCTTCAGCCTTCAGCTGACAGAGAGGAACTCATCTCTGTCCTGGGAGTTAATTCTCTGGGCTGTTCTTTTTCTAGTTTTTCAGCTATTTGCTCTGAACTTTAAGAAGAGCATATCAGACTCCTAATCCTAGTATAAAATCTTCTCTCATTTCATAATAATCAGGGGAAGATGTAGTAATCAATAATCATATTCAATAAGCCTTGTCTGTGTATGATTCTGCATTTAATTTCATATGTCACAGAAATTTTTATGCTTCTGTTCTTAATCTGTTCTGAGAAGTTATAGTTCTCCCATTTTCTGCTTTTTTTTTTGTTTTGTTAGACCTCAGCCACTTCAGCACAAGGTCCCTACAGCAGCCCCCAAACCACAGTAGTGCCCAAAGATATATGCAATGATATATATATATATATTTATATATATATATATATATATAGACACACACCCAGCCACAGTAGTGCCCAAAGATACATGCAATGATATATATATATTTATATATATATATATATATATAGACACACACCCATGCAAACTAGAGTTATGACTAAATCTGACTAAATCATATTTTGGGAGCAGAAGAGGAATATTGTTAAACTCAGAGGCACTAAATAATTGGTAAACCATAAATATATACCCTAAATAAACCAGGCTCTCTTAGCTGTACTCTGCCATTCCCTTTGAAAGAACTGCCCCTCAGAACAACAAGAAAATGGCATTTCAGACTCCAACTCTTACTTCAGTTTAAAACAAGTCCTTAGCAGTAGAAAATGAAAGAAATTATTTTAATGGATAATGAGTTTCAAGGTGAGCACCTTACCCCTGGCACTTTTCAATTAAGAGTGCAGGACTTGCATGCCTTGAGAATACTATTACTGACAGTGCTGTTCTAATATATTTTTAGAGGATTGCCCTCAGGGCTCCAGTTTCTTCAATCCACAGCCTCCTCTCTACCTTCTGAGGTTCCTGCTGAGTTTCTGACAACCCATAATACTTCAACCCCTCTCATCTTTCCCACCTTCCTCCCAGCTGAAACGGAACAAACATGTTTTAAAGCTATTTTATTGTTTTTCTCCCAGCTGAAGGCCCCCCTGTGAAAGGGCTGTTTGAACGTGCTCAGGAAAGGTGCTGCTGGTGGCGGGGTGCTGGCAGCCTGGCCTGGACAACTCTGTCTGTCTGTCCATCCATGGGACTGCATACAGATTGCTCTGCTCAAGCCTCAGGTGTGCTCAGTGGGGGAAAACCAGCAAAAACCTGTCTGTGAGCAAACACCAGCCCTCCTCCCCCTCCTGTTTTACAGCAAATACAGAGTCTGGGATTGCTAAAAGAAGTTTTTGGGGAACTTTGGTCTTGCTGCTGCTTACAGCAACCAGCTGGAAGCCCAGACTGGACTTGGACAAACACAGGGCACAAGGTTCAGTCCCTACTGTTTCACACGTTCAAAATAAAGCCACTGCAATGCTCAGAGGAGAAGAGCTCCTGTTTGCCATCCAAAATGGATTCACGCTGCTTTTCATTCCTTTACCATTTTCACAACAGATAAATACAAACAAAACCAAAGCTCCTCTAATTAAATTCAACACCTTGTCTCAAGGATGAGAAGTTCCAGGTTGCAGACATTTCTGCACCCCCTGACAGCTGTGCTATGATGATTATTGTTAATAACTGCTGCAAGCACACTTGAAGCAGCACACGAGCACTGAGCAGGCAGCCCAAAGACATTATTTATTCCTTGGCTCCTGTTAGATTTGTTGTGTTAAGGGTGGTTTTGTAATTAATCTACAGCTCCTGAAAACACTATCACCTTTCTAATGTGGGGAGAATGTGGCTCCTATGAGCTAGGTCATGAAGGGTGCAATGAGAGCCAGTGTTCACAAAGCACAGCAACAAGTTCCCTCTTCACCTGAGGCCTGGCACAATGGGGAATTTACAAATCCCTGGATATTTGTAAAAGGACATAAGATCCAGTTTTTATTGCATATCTCACCTGCTATTGTTGGAAGGAGCCAGTGACATGTCCAGACAGATAAATTACTCAGATGAAACTAAGGACAAATAGCACCTTTCCAGTTTCCATTAACACAGAACAGTGCTGCTTCACCAAAACCACCCCTCCATGGGGGAGGAAAACCATTTCTCCAGATCTGATTGAACAAAAGATGAAGATAAAAGCTCAAACTTGCAGAAAAGAAAGGAAGAGAGACCTTCAAAGAGGGGATTGTCAGGACTGTGCTCTGATCATCTCTTTTGATATAGGTGGACTGAAGATTTATATCAGGGGCTACAGGACCTCAGAGTCCATCAAACACCTCAGCTCTGGCTCAATCCATCTGGATGGGTTGCTCCAGAGGGATGGTTTACTTTCACACCTTTCCCTCCACATTTCAACAGGTTGGGTTTGCTGAAAGATCAGCTATATGAATGTCAGGAGTTTTAGGTAAAGTTCCTTCATTGTCCAGGCCACCACATGGAAAGAGACTCTCAAGATAAAGATAGTGGGAGTGAAGAAATCCTATTTGCTCTGGGGGGGAAATGAAGGGAGGATCCAGTCTCACTCACTTTTAGGATGAGAAAGCATCATTTTCTATTATTCTAGCTCCTCCCTCTCATAATCTAGAGGCTACTGAGTTATATTCACTCTAGACTCAGTATGCAACAGATGCAAAAAAGTCCTTGGCTGACCAAGATCACTATGCCTTCTCAGGCATTATAAGCTTACAGCTCAATATCTAGGAAGATAATTATTGTATTTATGTGTGGCTTGTTAGAATATCCAGAGAAAAATATATACAATTCCATAAATTCATGTTTGTTTTTGCACACCCTAGTCTAATACACAGATAATGCAAACTCAAGCAAGTCTACACCATGAACTACTAGATTATAAATATGGTTTTTGTTTGTGAGACTGTAACTACACTGTGATATCTACTACACTGGATTATTCAAAATCATTCAGAGGAAAAGTAGAATTTCATGGATCAGCATTTCTAATTCTTGTCTCCTCTAAAAGACAAATATAAGAAAATCCATTGAGATATTTTTGATATATAAACCAGCTAAAAGCAGTTTCTTCACATGATTAAGATAGAAGTAGCCCCCAGTCACATCCAGAGGTAACCTGGTGATGCAGACAGGAGGGAGACAGGCAAAAATGAGAGTCTCTAACAGCCCACTGAATGCACAGGAGCTGCACATCCCTGGTTTTTGCAAATTAGCTGCCTCAGAATTTCAAAGGGAGCTCGAAAGATTCAAATGACAAGTATGCTCCCATCTGGTAGGAAATTCTCTTTCAAAGCAGAGGAGAATCATGCTGCACTGACCAAAGAGCCTTGCCAGTAAGACTTAGAAATAGCAACACACAATTTTCTCCAGCTGAGAAGAAAACTGTTTGGGAAAAGCTTCCAGTCAGATTTGAAAACCTCTGCAGGCTCATTCAATGCAAAAACTCCAGAATTCATGAAAAAACAATCCATGTGATCAAAAAAAATCATACCCACCTATTAGCAAAATCCATATGTGATAGAACTACCAGCTTGCATAGAGTAACTAATAAACAGCAGGTCTCTCTTATACCAAATCCATCCAAATCCAGATCTTTTCCACAGAATAATATAAAAATAATTTATCCTTAGAATTGAAGAAACATTTCTCTTTTATTCACCTTGGCTCAACAAAAAATAGTTCACCTCAAACAAGTCAATTTTGTTCAAGCATATGGAGACAAATTTTTATAAATTTTAAACAAACATCAAATAAAAGTAACAAAAGAAATATTTATCACATTCTGTCATTTATTACAAGCTGATCAAAAGGTATATCTGGATATCCAGATGATAACCAATGTAGATAATTTCCATCAATAAGGTTTTTAATGTCAGAAACACTCATTACATGCTGGCTCCTATAATCTGCTGGGAAATTACTCCTTCTAAGCTAATTAATAGGAAAGCTTACAATGATAACATAATTGAAGCAGTGCCTATGAAACAAATGGTCTGACCAACATCAATCCCTGTTCAATAACCTATTAATATTAATACATCATCTATGCAAGCACTTCACCTACAACTGGCATCATTCTGCAGGAGGGAGAACAAGACAAAAATACTGACAAAATCATCCCAACTGTTTTAATGACATGAACAGCAGTGATTCCTCTGGGTAAGTCTAAATGACATCATCAGCCACTTATGAGCTTCCTTTTTCTAGACATCCACATTTCCACCACCCAGCTGCATTACAAAGAGATTTTGGAAATTCACAACACAAATTCAGTGTTGGGGAACCAGAGAGGTCAAAGATGTAAAAATTGGTCCCACCAAGTTTTATTTCTCTTGCAGAAAGTTCTCATTTTAACTGAGAAGCTCAACTCATTGCTTAAGCTTGGAGATGCCTTACCTGCCCCTCCAAGAAAAAATGAACAAAGAGATTTAGAATAAAATATAATACCTCATTACACACAGCATGCTTTATCTTTTAATTTTAGCCTGAAATATATGAGCAGGAGATGCTAACAATTTTTAATTTTAAGGGCAGGAAGAGCTGTGGCAACCACCCCATCAGATCTGCTCAAGAGTATGAGCTTTTCCTATACCAAAAGGAATAAAATGTTGCTGAACTAAAACTACTCCTCTTAGAAAGCAAATTCTTATTTAAAGACTGTGAGTAGTGATCAACAAATCACTTTCCTCAATAAATTACTGTAGCAGTTAATTAAAATGTGTCCCTTATGTTCAGTTTTCTTTGGCATCCAGCATGTAGAGAGCAGACTTTGTTTTTTCTTGCGTTGCATCCAGGCAAAGTTTGTAAGGTCTGGCATTCATTTTTCTCTACAAAAATTGATAGAACCTGGAGGCACCTTTCTGGTACACTGCCTGATGCTTCCACAAAAAAGGCACAAACACTGCTTCTACTCCAGCTTCTGCTAGTGGAAGGATTTTGTACTGCAGCTACCACATGTGTCACCTCTTCAGTCACAGCCACCAGCTGCCCTGGCTAGGGTGCCACAGTCCAGGGGTCCCAACACATACTGCCACCACATCTTCATTCTGTGGTGTAGAGAGATCTTTCTGTAATAAATACAAAAGCTCTTTAATTTTCTTCAGTTTTCCCTCCGCACTGCACATGCACTTGATGAAAGATGCCTTGTTATTCTCTCCTTGCTAATCTGAGCAGACTGAACTCTGCAAACTCTCCCAAAAGGATAAAGATTTCAAAAGATCTGTGGGAAGGGAAGCAGAACAAAAGAATCTTTTGGTTTCCAACAGCCCAGCTTCTCCTATGGGCTCTTTTTTCCTCCTCCCTGCCCTCAAGTTAGATAAATTCACTCCCACTGCACAAAGGGGCAGAGCTGGCAGTGCCATTTCAGGGCAGGAGGAATCCAATCAGGAATCCAGTCAGGAGTGCCCCAGCCCATGTGGGGAGCCTTTCCTGGGCAGGGGTGGGCAGGGATGGCTGGCTCATCCCTGTCCTGCTCTCCCTCCTGCTCTCCCTGCCCCAGCTGAGGCAGGCAAGGCAGCCCAGTGCCCTGGGCAGCTCCAGGCTTTGCTGGATCTAAAACCTGCCCTGAAGCAGATCCTCTGATGTCAGTGGAGCAGAGTTGTGTGTGTTGGGGTGAATCACATTAGAGCTGCTTAGTACAGGAAATTGAATTTCTATATTTATAACAGGGGTAATTTAAGTGCTCCAAGGTCCCTGGACTCACACATCTATCTTATGGAATTACTTGTCATCGAGGTGTCAAAGCCAGGAGCATCAGGATGACAGTTTGTTAAAATGGGCAAGCTAAAAGATTCTGCTAAGTTAACACTTGAATGACTTATGAACCACTCATTTTAATATTTGATTTAAGTTTTAGGGAGTTGATTGCGTGTGGAAGTGCAGGGTCTGACAATAAACAAAGGAGTCATTCATAGGGCAAAAGCCTTTTGCCTCAAACCAAACCTGCAGAATCATGGCAGGCTGTCTCTTGTTCTGAACCTGTTTCTCCTACAGCTGGTTTGAGCACACACTGGTCCTGGGCTTCTCCTGCACAGGAACAGTGGGAATGTGTGACAGCTCTGTGATCCAGACATGCTTTTGGTTTGTACCATCATTTTGTTTGCAGATGTAACAACAAAAAAAGGAGTTTCATCCACTACTCTCAGCCCTCAGCTTCTTGCCACCATCTCTCTGAGAGCTGTTGCTGAATTGGGGGACCTCACGTTTGCTGGCAGAGCTGTTTGGAAGAGCCCTTCTTGTTTCAATCAGAAGAAATGGCTGGGTTAGCAAATGGAACAGGTCTGACAAGTGTATGGGGCTGGGAGAGGGTGGCTGAGGCATCTGACACCATGCAGGACCCTCAGCACACACCATGGCTGGATGGTTTCACCAAACCTTGGGACCTTCTTTTGCCCGTCAGCCACCAAAACACAGCTGCGACACAAACAGGCAAGAATTAAGGGAAACTATCCACACACACTCCCTGAGATTCCAAAAGAGTTTATAAAATCCCAGAGGAGTTAGGGATACCAAAAGGCTTTTGAAGAGGCAGGATTCAGAATGACTCACATTAAGACAAAAAGGGGATGCAGCAACAATCTCTCCCCTGTCATTTATGTCCTTGCAATCAGGCTTGATCCTGCTCCCCCCAACCACCAAAAGCTGTTCCTTGTGGAAGAGTAATCTCCTCCTTTCTGAGACCCCAAACGTACAGAAAATGAAGAAGGAAAACACAAATATTTTCTCTGCTGTCTGCCCACCTCCTTTTCAAAGGGATGTGACTCAGTGCAGGGAAGGCAAGAAGTCACTACCCATCATATGCAAAAGAGCTACAAACCACATCCAAGTTCTTAATATTCCCAATGAGCAATCCTAGCTCTTGTGCACTGGTTTATGGCAGCCTGGACAAAAACTAAAATGTATTTAGGAAGCTCCTATTAGAAACACAGTGTTTTCATCTAAAGGCCTCAGGCTCTGTTGTGAATTTTTAAATATATTAACAAATAAGATGATTTTTGCTATTCAGAGAGAAGCAGAGGGAAACATGGATCAGAACAGTGTGTAGATAAGAACCTGAAGACAGAACAAGTGAAACTACAGTACAAAAAAGCTGGGACAAGAAAGGATATGGAGATATAGAGAGAATGCCATTGTCTTCAACTTCCAGGTCTCAAAAATGCCTGAGAATATAAACTCCATGAGTCAAAAATATCATCATAATCTTCAAATATTTATCTCTGCTTATTCCTGCCTTTCATAATTTAAAACACACTGTATACAAAAATCTGTCATCCCAAATTTCATTTTATGGTACAACATAATGAATCAAAATGAAACATTTCAAATCAAAAAAGGAAGAAATATAGAAATGAGAAAGCTTTAGTTAAGTCAGTTAATATTCCAAATAATTGGTTTGAAGAATTCTTTGAAAGCAGCCAGCTCCTGACAGTTGGGGTTTTTTAACACAACAGGATTTTTCTAATAAAAATCTGCTCTGTTTATTATTTTTTGACTGCTTGACTTCCAGTAAAGATCATTTTAAGCATATTATATTGAAATTAGATCTAACAACTTTTGGAAAGTATGGATAAAGATTTACACCACTGAACTCTGAGGGAGAGTGATTTGCCCTAGACCAGTGAATTAATTGTTTCAATGAGTCCATTCTCACTTGTGAGGAAGTGCCTGATATTCCCTGCAATCAGACCCTGCATGACCCTTAGCAAATAGAATTCAGGTAAAAGATTTGCCATTGCAGTGTAGATTTCTAAACAACACTTTTCACTGTCATGGTGCAAATTCAGTGTCAAGCCAAACGTTCCAGGATGGGTTCAGTTATGGGACTCTCATTTGACCATTTGGCTGTGGCTGCAGGTCCTCCACTGGAACAGAGCATCAGGATGTCTGAGATCACACATCAGGATCTCTGAGATCACACAGTGCCCTCAAGCACAACCAAAATTCTGTAGGCAAGCTGGCCAACAGCACAGCCCCATTTTTTTGTTGTACGTTCCTGGTTGGGAGTTCCTGGAACTGATAAAGCATGGAGCAGACTATTTTTTTGTTTCCCTAAAATGTATTTCACCCCAAACACACCATGTGTAACATAAGACGACAACATCCTTGAAGGTATTGTTTTGCACAGAAGAATTTGTGACTCATCAAGAAGAAAGGTGAGTTCTGCTGAATAGATGATGCTAACTTTGACAGGAAATCTATGTTTCCTCCAAGAGGCAGAGTATCAAATTAGCAAAGACAGCACAGTTCCAGAAAACTGCAGCTCAGCAGTTAACTTATGCAAGTGGTGAATTTGGCATGAGTGACCTGAAAATTCCACCTCCTGAGAAACCCTCACACCTGTAATAAAAGCTGAGTGATTGACATGCCTGCCTCTCCCTGACTGTACATCCCTGGTGCTGGGGCAGATCCACCTGGACCTGCTCTGGCTGTGGAGTCAAATGGGGTGGCACATCAAAAGAAGCTGGTGCAAATGCCCCTGCAGCACCTTTTGACCTCTGTTTTTAAATGTCAGCAAGCAGCAAAGATGGTAGCGCTGTGCCTCTGAATCCACCTTCACAATACAGCTGAAAACCCACAAATTTGGGGAATTTCAGCAGATCCCTGTCTGTGTGACCACTGCAAAGGAGGGACCCTGGCAGCTCAGGGCTGGTATTCAGCCAGCAGGTACATTGCCCCAAACCCCACAGATGGATTCAGGAGCTCTGCAGCTACAAAAGTGACAGCCTTTCCTTTCCAGCCTGCAGTCTCTGAACAGACTAACTTACCTTCTTTAAGTATTAATGAAGTGCTCTGCTCACCTAATGAAAGCAAGTTTTCTCTGCTGAGTGAGCTGGGGCCTTGGCAAGCCAATTAGTGCAAGATTCTGCAAATCCTACCAATGCTATTTAGTGCTGTTCTGGAAAGTGCTCACTGACTGAGAGCTTTCTGGTGAGCTGGCAGAAACCAAATTGCCAAAAATAATTTTCCCCCAAGGGCACAATCCACTTTGATACATTTTCTATTTTGAAAACAAGTGTTTCAGAGCTGCCACTGGTTCTTAATGTGTTGGGCTGTTATTAAAGAACCAGCCTCAGATTTCAGCTTGACATTTCTTGTTTAGAAATAATTTGCCTTGAAATGTACAAAAGAGTATTATTTAAGTGAATAACAAAATGTACAGAAGTGTATTATTTAAGTGAATAACAATGTAACACAAGTATATATATATATGTACACAGTATATATTAACCTCAAGATATTTTAAAATTCCAAACCCACAAGATACAAGGTACAATGATAATAATAAGATTTTTAGGAATCCAGAAAGAGGAGAAATAAGAAAAGAAATAAAATATTAAGTTTTAGGACAGCTCACAGAAGATGTGATTGACTTCATGCAGTAGAAGTTGTCCCTGCTTTCAGCCATTAACATGAATGAACAAGCACAGACCAGGGAAACAAACCCAAGGGAGCTTCCAGGGGACTGTGGGCATCCCTAGGGAGCAATGTCCCATCACAGTGCCTCCCCACCTCTAAATTCTGCTGGCATGTCATGCTCCAATGCCCTGAGGCTTCCATGCCAGTTAAATCCGAGACTTGTGTGCTGCTTCTCCCTGCATTTCACCCTCAGCTCTCATGGCTGCTGGAGCTGGGATTGACCTGGGCTGTGATTCAGCCTCTGCTGATGGGATCTCTGAGGAAGACTTTTCACACAGTGGCTCTCCCCTGCTACAATCATTCCCAAGTTCCAATTTTCCTCATGCCACAGCTGCTCAAGAGCAGTGAGTGATGATGTTTGGAGGCTGAGGAGGAAATGATCAGTCAATCCAGCAGGCTCCAGTCTCCCACTGGGGACGTAGGAGCACTTCAGAGCTTTTAGGAGACTGGAAAAGTTGCTGGGTTTGTGCCCAAGGAAACCTGAATGCGGCACTGATCAGTAATGTACAGTCACCCAGGCCCAGACCTGCCCTATTGCTCCTGTGAAGGTGTTTCTGTTTCTCAAACGCTTCTCCAAACATTTGTGACCCACACTATGGCATAATTATGACTGCGAGGCAATTAAGATACTAGCTAAGCCCAGCAACCCTGA